CTTTGCCCACTGGGCGGACCCCATTACCCAATGCCTGAGAGGCAAACGGCCGTTCCTATGGACTGAGGCGGCTGAGAAAAGCTTTCAGCAGCTCAAGAAGCTTTTCACTTCTCAACCTATCCTGCAACATCCTGATCCAACTAAGCTTTTTGTGGTGCAGGCCGACGCGTCGGATGTGGCGGTCGGGGCAGTGTTGCTACAACCCGCGGGGGATCATCTCCAGCCCTGCGCATATTTTTCTCGGCAGTTGACTGCCCCAGAACGGAATTACACCATTTGGGAAAAAGAACTCCTAGCCATCAAGTCGGCGTTTGAGACTTGGAGACATTGGCTAGAAGGTGCTATGCAACCAGTGGAAGTCCACACGGACCATCGCAATCTGGAATATCTCCGTACCTCCCGGAAGCTAAACCAACGACAGCAGCGTTGGGCGTTGTTTTTTGAGAGATTCAACTTCCGGATTTGCTATGTGCCGGTGGCTCAAAACAAACAGGCGGATGCTCTGTCACGCAAGCCGGAGTATACTCGGGGCCAAGAAGATTCCTCCGAGTCCTGCATTTTGCGTCCAGAAAACTTTGCGTCCACCGGCGTACCAGGACCCCCTTCGACTCTGGCTGAAAGGATCCGAGCGCGGCAGCAAGAGGACTTGTGGGTGCAAGAGCAACTAGAGGCCGGGCTAAAGTTTCCGTTTCAGGAGTTGGATGGCATGCTGTGTCATCGTTCAAAGGTCTATGTGCCGCCTGGTCCCGAGCGGGAGGAAATTTTAAGACTATGCCATGACACCAAGCCAGCAGGGCATTTCGGGATCTTTAAAACAATGCAGCTGGTGCTAAGAGACTTTTGGTGGCCCAAGATCCGACGAGAAGTCGAGAAATATGTTAATGGGTGCCCTGTCTGTCACCACGCCAAGAACCCTACGGGCAAACCGGCTGGTTTGCTACAACCTCTACCCACTCCGAGTCGGCCCTGGGAAATCGTGTCGGCCGACTTCATCACGGATTTACCAGAATCTCAAGGTTTCACCACCATTCTGGTGGTGGTGGATCTTTTCACCAAGATGGGACATTTCATTCCCTGCAAGGGAGTGCCTACGGCCAAAGAAACGGCCGACTTGTTCCTGAGCCACATTTTCCGTCTTCATGGACTTCCAACGAGTTTGGTGACCGATCGCGGTGCCCAATTTACCTCGCATTTTTGGAAGGAGATACAGCGGCAGTTGGGCATCGAGAGTCGAATGTCGTCAGCACACCATCCACAATCCGATGGCCAGACTGAGAAGACCAACGCCACCCTTGAACAATATTTGAGATGTTTTATAAACTATCAACAGGACAATTGGTCATAGCTTCTTGCTGTAGCCGAGTTTGCTTATAACAACGCTACTCACGGGTCGACCAAGGAAGCCCCGTTCTTTGCTAACTATGGATACCACCCCCGGTTCTTTCCTGCAGTGGTGGGGTCAGGAGAGGTCCCTGCCGCTACCACTTGGCTGCAGGAACTCTCAGCGATTCAAGAGATTTTAAAGGCTCAACTGGAACAAGCAAAAGAGGATTACAAACGGGTGGCGGATACCCATCGACAGCCGGGTCCACCGATCCAAGTGGGGGATCGAGTTTGGCTGTCCACCAAACATTTGCCTATACAACGCCCCTCTCGGAAGCTTGACGCTCGTTTTGTGGGGCCATACCCAGTGGTGGATCAATTAAATCCTGTGACCTTTAAGTTGAAGCTTCCGCGCGGCATGCGGATCCATCCTGTTTTTCATCGGTCGTTGCTTCGACCCGCCACGGAAGTCAGGCCGGATGCTGGCGAGGCCCCTCCGCCGCCCCCGATTCTGCTCGATGGAGAGGAAGAATTCGAAGTGACAGACATTTTAGACTCTCGCCGTTATCATCACAAGTTACAATACTTGGTGGACTGGGTGGGATATGGTCCTGAAGAGCGCTGTTGGGTGGATGCTCGAGATGTTCATGCTCCTCTCCTGGTGTCCCGCTTTCATCAGGCCTACCCGGCCAAGCCCGGTCCGGTGGGGGGCCTCAGGGGGGGGCTTGGGGGGGATAGTGTTGTGGTTCAGCAACAGCATGATGGGACTGATGGGACTGAGAGTGCAAGTGGACATGCTGGGAATGGGAATACAGATGCAGGTGTGGGATTTCAGATTTCTCAGTTTTCTCAGCCACAGTCTGTAGCTGGAAAGAAACCCTTGTTCTCATGGGAACGGAATGTGGCTGATAAAACACTCGGTGAAGGTCAAAGTGAGCCGCAGGTGTTAAGGAGAAGTTTAATTGCGGCCAAATCTTGAGGCCATCTGCTGGTGGGAAAACTGCTCGTTAGCTGTTCTGTTTAATGTTCATGTTTTGATGTTTTACCTATAAGTAAACTGCTTGAGAACTGATTCAGTGTCAGTTTCAACTTTGCAATATGGATCGCTGTACCTCCGGCTCTAGGGCTTGGGCCCTGGGGATTGCCTGCTTCTTGTAACCTCATGCTATTTCCTGGATTGTATCCTGTATCTTTGCCTCAAGTTTCCTGCTTTGATTCAAGAGAACTTATTGGACCTTTACTTTGTACTATTGAACTTTTTTACTGCTTTTACTTGGATTTGTTTGAAACCTCAATAAACTTCTTCTTCTCAAGTTTGGCTGGTTTGTCAGAGAGCAAGGTGAAACTTAACCTGAGACACAACAGCTGCATAAAAAGTTACCCCACCACATTTTCACTATATCTGACCTGGCAATATTTAGAAAAATATATCGGAATGCACACACTAAACAATGGGCTCTAAAACATTTCAATTATTTTGGAAAATGCCTAGGACTATACTCTGAGTGAAAGATGGCATACAAATGCAATAAATAAAATAAACAAACATTTTGCCCAGCTTCTTGTCTGACAGGGTATCAGACAGAAATGTGTTCTTATCCATAAAACTGGATTTTTGATTCACAACCATGGCCTTCTTTCTGGAGCAATTGGGAAAATAAATCTCTCTTCATTCCCAATACTGGGACTCAACATGGCTTACAAATTATTAAATTTAAAGCCAGTACAAATTAAAAACATGTATGTGTATATATACTCCCCGCACACATATAGACAGAGAAGGATTTAAGAACAACCAACCAATCAATCTAAGGCAGGGGTCCTCAAACTAGGGCCCGGGGGCCGGATACGGCCCTCCAAGATCATTTACCCAGCCCTCGCTCAAGGTCAACCTAAGTCTGAAATGACTTGAAAGCACACAACAACAACAACAATCCTATCTCATCAGCCAAAAGCAGGCCCACACTTCCCATTGAAATACTAATAAGTTTATATTTGTTAAAATTGTTCTTCATTTTAATTATTGTATTGTTTTTAAGTGTCTTTTGCATTACAAATAAGATATGTGCAGTGTGTATAGGAATTAATTCATTTTTTTTTTCAAATTATAATCCAGCCCTCCAACAGTTTGAGGGACTGTGGCCTGGCCCTCTGTTTAAAAAGTTTGTGGACCCCTGATCTAAGGGATTAAAATCATTTAATATTCATTACTCTTAGATCATCACAGCCGTGACTGGCATATATTATTGGGTGGCATCATGGCATGACAACAGCAGGTCTACTCATCCTTTCTGTGGATAATATATCAAATAGATATTGAAGTTGTTCTCGTTCATAGATTCCTCTTGCCCAAGTATGCAGATGGCTGACCAGGAATTTGCCTGTACTACTTTATGCACTGCGCTAAAAACACAATCTAAAAATTCTGGAAGACATCTCTATGATCATCATCTGAAATATTTCTGAATTGCCCTTCCACTCAATATATACTTGAGCAGATGTACAATAAAAAGAGAAAAGCAATAAAATACAATATTTCCTACAGAAAACAAAACACAATCTGATCAATCTTTACAGAGTAATGAAATAGGGAAAATGGTTTCTTCTGATTCTTCTTCTTTAAAAAAAATCATTCAACAAAGCTTGGCTATTTTTTTAAACCATCCATCTAAAACCTAGTAAGAATGTAGGCAACTTAGTTTTTCAGGAGAAGGACTGTTACATGCATGCTTCTGCTAAACAGATAGCCTGATCTTAAACTCCTTCACAATCTCAGCTCTCTTTGAGGTGGGCCACCTTATAAAATCACACATGAATAATGCATGTTCAATTCAGGTTAATAACAGAGGAAAAAGTCTCCCTCAAATATCCATTCCTCATCCATTTATGGCTTTATAGGTGAGAAACAGCCCCTGTAATCATACTTTTGAGGAAGCAGGAAGTGAACAAAGCAGTTTCAAGACAAGTGCTATCTGTTCTCTAAATATGCACCTCACAAAACTCTTAGCCACCATAGCCACCTTTACATTTAAGCGTAATATTCTTTAAGACTTTGGCAACAGGTGTAAAAGGCAGACAAACAATTGCATCAGCAACATGATAATATGACCCAGTTTTTAAAACTTAGGATGAACCTTTTCAGCAGATTGAAGAAGATACTATACAGTAATGGGAAAATGTAGGACCAAGAAATCCCACCCTACAAAGACCATTAATATTGAGCAAAATGTTCACAGGAGTATTTTCTGGAGAGCATTCTGGCAAATAGGAAAAGATTCCCTGCAACATGTGTTTCTATCTGTCAAGTACTTCAAAAGGATGACATGACTTATTGTACAAAATGCCAGGGAGTGGCCAGATCCAATAGAATCAACAAGGACACATTTGGCTACCTATTTTCAAGTAAATATTGCTTTGTGGGCCTCCAGTAGACTATCCACAAAGCATTTTGTGGGATGAGGATTTTTTTGAAGATAATTATGAAGATATTAGAGCAAATTGAAGGCTTATGGAATACATTTATGAGGAGAGATATTGACTTTTGACTTCTAGTATCCAAAAAGCAGCATTAATGTTCAGTGCTAAATCAAAATCTACCAAAGTTAAACCAAATTCCAGCAGATAATGGACATGATTCAAAAATTAATATTTGGAAAATAAATGCCATGGGTACTTACATCCCATGTGATGACCAGTTCAGATCTGCTGCCACCTCCTCCACTTACTTCAGATGGCGGTACTTCAGGAACTATAAGGAACAAATATTAGCTGGAAATTCACATGTACAACGTCACACCAATTTATTCAATGGCACAAGTTCCTATGGAGCTAGGCCATCTTAATTTTATCATTACTACAATAAGTATTTGAAAAATAAAAGTTTTGCTGAAACAATGTTTGTCTTAAGGATTTTCCCCAAGCATTTGCCTATTTCCTTAAGAATCTCTGTGTGTCATAACTTGTAACTGTGTTTTTTTCCCTTTTTTTTCTTCCTCTCCTTACCCTCTGTCTCCCCTCCCCGCCCTTTGTGCCCCATACCCCAGTCTGTTTCATTTGTACTATTCGCAATGTTTGTTTGTCAGAAATGTAAAGTGTATGTTACCAAAAAAAATCTAATAAAGATTATTAAAAAAAAAGAATCTCTGTGTAGTGCAAATATTAATCAAATGAGTACCAAACTAGGTGAGACACTTGACACATGTTTTGAACTTTTGTAATAAATAGCTAGTGTGAATCAAGGAAGCTGGACTAGAATTGTGATATGAAGAGAGAACCCTTTAAGACCTTCCAAGAATCTTATTAAAATTACCCTAATTCCCAATTGATTCTTAGTGCTTTCCTGACAAAGACAGTCAAACCATATTCTGTGAAGAAAAATATTTATTTATTTATTTACCATATTTGTATGTTGCCTTTCTCAGCCAGAGGTGACTCAAGTGAGCATTATTCACATGCTATTGTGACAAACAGAGAAAGAGCCCTGAACATTCCTTATGTGATGCTTGCATAAGCGTGACATAAAGAATATGGTTGCCTTGTCAGAGCAGATTTCAAATTTCCAGAGGAAAGCCCACCACATTTATTAAACCATTTGATCTGAGTGTCCCCAATCAATGACTCTATAGGCCTGATTGATTCTCCACATTTTTATAAAATGTTACAAACAGCTTTTTTGATTACTGCATGGAATATTCTCCTCAACATTTGAATTATTTCTGTTTTCTGAACACAAGTGAGAAAGCCACAATTTTCTTATTCATATGTAAGTTTATATCTTTTCTCTATTTTCTTAAACATATTCCGCAGCCACATATCAAACAACACTATTTAGTTACCTTTGCTAGTAATCATCAACCTGTGGTGACTGAAATTGGTTTTCTTTATCTCAGGATGTAAGGCTCCATAATATATGCGGTCTGATACACCTCACCTAAGAATGTTCATTGGTGCCGAAAGCACAGCATTAGTTGTGCCAAAAAAGACTATGTTAAAGTCATTCTGTTAAGGGCTACAGTGAGAGAACAACTTCTACTTCTTTGGGGAAAAAGGGACACATGAAAGTTTATATCCAATGCATAGTTTGGAAATATTTTTCTTATATTAAATGAAAAACAAGACCCACAAATTCTGATGAAGATCCAGTATTTGTGGGTCTTGTTTTTCATTTAATATAAGAAAAATATTTCCAAACTATGCATTGAAACTGCATAAAATTGTTTTAGCACAGAATCATTCCAAGTAGCAATTATGTATTAGTGATAAAATAATTTGTTTGATTTCTTTCTTGAAGAAAGCAATTGGTCACTTTGGCAATTTTCTTTCCAATGCAATAAAATCTTCAAAGACTGCACCGTGTGCAGAGACTATTTGTAGTTATAGACTTATTCTGCACAAAGTCCACACTTTCTTCAAGAAACCACAGAAATTGTTGTCAAAGATTTTCATGGTCGGAATCACTGGGTTGCTGTGAGTTTTCAAGGCTGTGTCGCCATGTTCCAGAGGCATTCTCTCCTGGTGTTTCACCCACATCAATGGCAAGCATCCTCAGAGGTTGTGAGGTCTGTTGGAAACTAGGCAAGGGAGGTTTATATATCTGTGGAATGTCCAGGTTGGGAGAAAGAACTCTTGTCTGCTTGAGGCAAGTGAGAATGCTGCAATTGGCCACCTTGATTAGCATTGAATGGCCTTGTAGCTTCAAAGCGTAGCTGATTGTTGACTAGGGATCCTTTGTTGGGAGGTCTTAGATGGCCCTAATTGATTCTTGTCTGGAATTACCCTGTTTTTTAAGTGTTGCTCTTTATTTAATGTCCTACTTTTAGAGATTTTTAATACTAATAGGTAGATTTTGATCATTTTCATTGTTTCCTCCTTTCTGTTGAAATTGTCCACATGCTTGTGGATTACAGTGGCTACTCTGTGTAATCTGACATGTTAGTTGTTAGAGTGGTCCAACATTTCTGTTTCTCAAATAATATGCTTGTGTCCAGATTGGTTCATCATGTGTTCTGCTATGGCTGACTTCTCTGGCTGAATTAGTCTGCAGTGCCTTTTATGTTCGTTGATTTATGTTTGAGTGCTGCGTTTGGTGGTCCCTACGTAGTTGCATGGTATATGGTAGATGGTAGTCCACGGTTGCATGGTATATGGTAGACTCCTGCAGAGGTGAAGAAACACAACCTACAAACTATCTACGGACAAACTAAGAAAATCCAACAAATGCTATGTTCAGCAAAGGACAAGAGGGATCTTCTCACCTCTGCAGGAGTCTACTGCATACCATGCAGCTGTGTACAACTCTACATAGGGACATTTGTGCATAATGAGTGATAAACTAGAAAAGTTTCCATCATTCCATATTTCTCCTCATGAAAGATTCCCAAAACTCAAGAAATATTTTTTTTGAATATTACTTCCATCTCTATTTTGTATTCTATTTTGTCACTGACTACAAATCCTTTAATTTGACTTTAAAAAATAAAAATAAATCATGCAATCTTGCATATGTTCAACAGAAAAACTGACCTAATCAATCTCAATACCTGTCACACTGAACTCACATCAAATGAAACAAGCAAACAAAAGACCCACTAACCTGCCTCTTTAGTTCTTACTTTTTCTGAGGGTAAACTAGGTTCTCCACCTCCAATTTTGTTACTGGCAACTATACGAAATTCATATTCAACCCAAGGGTTTAAGTCCACGGCTGTAGCTGTGAATGTTTTCCCATCAATGACTTCAGGGACTGTAAGAAAATATTTTGAAAAAAACTTTATGAATTTCTAATTCCCTTGAGGGTGGTGATATATGCATGTGCAGCCATAAACACCATCCCTTTACCTGTTGTGACTCTTTGCCAACCCACCGAAAATGGTGTCCTGGCTTGTACAGTGTAACTAGTGACTGGGCTGTGATTATCCAAGCCCTCATACCAAGAAAGCCAAGCTGTGGTAGCTGTTATTTCATCCACTTTTACATTTTCAGGTGGTCCAGGTGAGCCTAATGCAACAAGACATCAGATTTTAATGTTAGAGGGGCGTTGTAAAGGTAGCATGTAGTCTAAAAAGTGCTAAACACAGTATCAACTGATTTCTACTTTGCCAGATCTATGGGTGGTGGGGAGAAAACAATTTAGGCTGCAGTAAAAGTGCCATTTTTTACATTTACTAAAGTCGAGCTTGGCTATTTTATTGCTGTAAATGCAAGTTTTGAAACAGCAATTCCACAAGTACAGAACAGATGATGTATTCTTTCAGGGACCTTTACTCAGACGGATTTCTCTACCTTTTCAAATCAGTGTCTTTTACTTCAGTACTTGATGTCCTGCCTTAATCTGCTAATACATCTTTCTGCTTTGACAATTTGTTATCTAAAGCAGTTTTTGTCATGATGCTTGCTCTGTAGTCATTTCTTTCCTGCGTAGCACCATATCAGCACCCTGGACAGCAATTTACATTGCAAGCTCTCTGCAGCTTTCAAGAAAATCTTGATTTTCCAGAATTTGCAAAATATGATGCAGCTGTAGTACTGCTACAAACATGAAGGCAGAGCTGATGAAAAGCCTCTCTACATCACAATAGTTAGTCTTGTCTATTGAGTTAGTTTAACACACATTCAGGACATATTTCTTTTTGATTAGGGCATATATATATAGTCCTGAGTTGGTTTTATGTTTTAAAACATTTAATAGTTGTGATCAGGAAGTCTAATAAATGAAGCAAATGGCAGCATAACAGCATTTTACTGCTTAAAATTTAGTTGAGCACTTTGAATATTCATACCCGAATACAAAAACCTGCACTATAAAATCAAACCTGCACATATATGACCTCATTATGCAATGTGCAGTGACTTGAAGCTTTTATTAAAAAGTATTATACTGTGACAAAAGTTGGTACAGTATATAATGAGTGATATGGACTGTTCTACCAAAAGAAGACATCAGTAGATATTGCAGATGCTGAATGATGAAGAGGAATGCATTTGGGTTTCACTTTTCTATAACATTCTGTTTTTTGTTCAGCTATTTACATTTTCTCTTCCGCTGCTGCCATCAGCCTAATTATAATTTGTTAACCATACATAAAAATAAAGGGCATTGGCAAAATAAAATCACTCTGTTGGATGAAATATATTGGGTTGCATCCAGTGGTGGATTTGCATTTAATTAAAGTACTAATTCTATCCATGCAGTCCCCTGTCCCACAAAAGCTAATCCTATAACCACCTCGAGTCCCATTATAGGGAAAATTGCAAGGTAGAAACAATTTTAATACTAACAACAACAAGCAATATTCTACATGGCTACTTACATCTAACAATCACTTATTAGTCAGTTCGGATCTTAAATGGTTCAGGTCCTGCCTATCTTCGCAACCACATTTTCCCCTATGATCTGGCGCAGACCCCAACATCTGCCAGAGAGGCTCTCCTCTCGCTTTCACCACCATCACAAGCACAGTTGGTGGGGATGAGTGAGAGGGCTTTCTTGGTGGTGCCCCCCCCCCCGGCTCTGGAATTCCATTCTCAGGGAGATTAGGCTAGCTCCTACTCTGTCCATCTTCTGCAGGGACCTCAAAACCTGGATGTTTTAGTGTGCATTTGATGATAGTTAAGCCCCTGATCATGAACGCCCAGTCCCAATTGTCAGATAGATTGTACTCAGCACTTTACCCCCCAGCCCTGGCTCTATAGTTCTGTTTTTTTGCACAAGTCCATGCCCAGCTATCTCTAATTCTGATTATGCTCACTATATTTCTGGTCACTGGTGCCTGATGTTGGTTTTTCTACGTTTTAATGATTTTTTATACCTGCTTTTTAAAATTGTCTAATTAGATTATGATATGTTATTATGTTTTAAACTGTGTTTTTAGCTGGTAAACTCTGTTGTTTGCTCTGGGCTTGGTCCCACATATAAGCGTCCCTGAGTCCCTTCAGGGAGTTGGTGGTGGGGTATAAAAATAAAGTTGCTATTATTATTATTATTATTATTATTATTATTATTATTATTATTTTGACACACCCCTTCAGTCCACCATAAGAGATTTTTTTCTATATCAGGAGCAACTTGAGAAACTGCAAGTTGCTTCTGGTGTGAGAGAATTGGCTGTCTGAAGGATGTTGCCCAAGGGATGCCCAGATGTTTTACCATCCTGTGGAGCTGACAGATGGGAGCTAACCCCACTCCCCAGATTCGAACTGCCAAGGATTTAACCCACTGTGCCAACGGGGGTTCCATCATAAGAGATAGCAGTCAGTTTGGTTGATGGAGGTGTATCGGGTGTACTAAGGATGGTGTTTCTCCTCTAACACAAGGAATTGAAGATGAGACAAAGTCATGCAAAAAGGTTCCTGCTTCTGATTGTTGTGGCCTTACACAATGCCATGGAAACTGAGCAATCCAGCTCCTGGATCTTGAGAAGGTCTGGGGTTATATAGGTTAACAGTAAAACTACACAGTTTCACTGAATACAGACCAGTTACAGATCCATCTTTCCTGATTACAAATCAACAAAAGCTGTACTGAATGCCAATAATAATAATAATAACAACAATAAAAATAATAATAGGATGGCCATCCAGAAAAGTTTGGCATTTGATATGTCAGCCTGCAAAATATTGATACAATATGTGGAAATTTTATGTCCTGTCTTAAAAATATATTTTGATAGTATTAACTCACCACCCCTGTTATGTCAGCTCCACTGGCTGCCGATCCAGTTCCGAGCATAATTCAAACTGCTGGTTTTGACCTTCAAAACCCTATACGGTTCCAGCCCAGCGTATCTGTCTGAATGCATCTCCCTCTACGTCCCACCTCGGAGTTTAAGATCCTCTGGGGAGGCCCTGCTCTCAACCCCGCCTCTATCACAAGTGAGACTGGCGGGGATGAGGAGCAGGGCCTTCTCGGTGGTGGCCCCTCACCTATGGAATTCACTCCCCGGGGAAATTAGATCATTGCCATCCCTCCTTTCCTTTAGAAGGAAATTAAAAACATGGATTTGGGACCAGGCGTTTAGGCAATCTGGCAGATAAAGAAAGGACAACGACGACTAATAGGAATGGAAAATGTGGAATGAAGTTATGGACTCTGAGTTGCGAATGTTGAGCATAAGATTGGTTTTTATTGACTGTGATATATTTTGATTGTTTTTAACTGTTAAAACTGTTTTAATTGCTGTCTATATTTTATCGGTATTACTGTGTAGGCATTGAATTGTACCTTTTTGTAAGCCACCCTGAGTCCCCCCTCGGGGGTTGAGAAGAGCGGGGTAGAAATACATGAAATAAATAAATAAATAAAATTGGATGCAATTCACTGACACAATTTGTCAGATTCGTAATATGTGTACTTAAGGTGTTCATTATTGAATTATTTCCAATTTTCTTTAAAGCAGTAATATTTGAAACTATTCAATAGTTCCTCCTTTTGGAGGAAGGAACTCGCATTCCTCAATATACTGAGAAAGTAGAATGTGCCTTATCCCCAGGAAGCTGTAGGGACTCATTCTGTAACCATCTTTCATCACAGCTGATTTAGCAGCATAGGACTAAAAGGATTTTTATGGGGTCCTAAGGTTTAAAGTTTAGTGTAGAACTGCTGATTCTATTGTATTCAGATTTGCACTTTGTAACAGCAGAAATCAGTTTCTTATGGCTCGCTCATAACATTTTTTTTTATAAAAAACTAGCTGCAATAGAAACACATTAAAAGGGGGAAGTCATTCATTTCCATGATTTACTTTAAGAAATTATATCTAATCTTTTGCAAACAGTATTATTCAGAGAAATTGTTACCTCGCACTATCAGCTCAGCTGCAGATGACACGCTATCCACCTCTGTCTTCACCATGCACACATATTTTCCACTATGTTTTAGCTGGATATTCCTAATCATTAAGTCTCCTGATGCACTCTGTTGAGAGGAATTTTTGAAAAAGACGATCAAATTCAATTAGTTAGAAGGCATGCTAAAAGACTTCAGTTCCTATAACAGAGAAATAATGGAGCAAAATGGGATGGAGTGGAATGCAGCAGAGACTGCAAAACAGAAGCAGAGTGGGAATTCAAGACTGACCTACCATTTGTCCCATAACATTTGCTTAAATGAGAGCAATTTGTCTTCTTTTATAGCATTTATTAAAATATTTATATATTGCCTTATAAATAAAGATTCAGGATGGTATAAAATAAAACCAACTCAAACAAAATGAATCATCTCATATATTGCCTTGGGTCTCATTTTGTGAGAAAAATGGCATATAAAATAAATAAATGTTTCTAAAGTTCTAAAATATATTAAACAATTTTAACAAGTTCAAAGAAGATGGGTTAAAAATTATTCAAAACCATGCACATCTGTAAAAAAAAATTAGGTCCCAAAGGATTTAGCAGTGCTATTTTTACTTGGTGCTTCCTAAGAAAGCTGCAGTGAGATCACTTTTCACATTTCCCTGCACTAAATTTTGGTTGATTCTTGTGTTCTGCTCATTCACCTTACAAAGCTTTAGATCAGGGAAAATCAAAGTAGCTACCCAGGGACTAGTGCCATTCTATGAAGCATTGGCTCTGTTCCCTGGAGAGTTTTGAGGAAAGATACAAGCAACTGAAGCCAATGGGAACAAAGATAATACCAATTCCTGGCATATTGTGGGGAAAAAACTTGCCTGTCTCCTACATGAGATGGCTTAAAGAGCACTGCTTTAGATGAGACAATCTTTCTTCACAAAGCAGAAGTCACTTCTGCTTTTAAAAGAAGGCTTCCATGAGCTAAAATTGGACATGGAGAGAATAAAAAGAAATAGCCTCAAAAGGTTGATCATACTGAAGAGGGGTTTCTGAGACTTCTCAATTTCAAGGCCAAGAAAAAATTGGTGCATGGTATCAAGTGCATGGGTGAATATATCAATTATAACACTGAAAATTTTCAGAAATTGATGATGCATTAAAGAACACTTTATTTGTGAAAGAGTGTGTCCAAAATATACAGAAGGGAACCAATTGTATAAAGAGGATAGAGGAGCAAAAGCCAAGTTTTTACTTGGCTGCTGTGAAGTTCTACCATGGAGAGTCTGCTGGAAGTGGAAATTCTGAAAAAGAGACCACTGGAAAGATGAGTAGAAATGAAATGATCCTACTCTAGCACAATTTGCTATTGTGATGTGTCTTAAAGTTGACTTCAACTTATGGCAACTATATCACCAGGTTTTCTTTGAGCTAGATCTGTCTTCATTTCAGAAAAAAACATCGAGTTCTGAGACCTATAAGAAGATTCAGGTTTGAATCGTAAAATATTTCTCTGAAAGAGGCAGGATGATCCTCAAAACCTGATATTCAAGCACCCAAAGAGATTGCTTTACTCTTGGTTAAGAAATAGGGGGTTTATATTTTCAGTGAAGTGTAAAAGACACTTGGATTTTTAGAGTGTATATATAGCCAATCAATTGGTGTTGCTTTGTTTGGTTAAACAATTCACAGTAAGTCTGAGCATTACATTATTCCATGAGGTCTTTGAAAGGCCCCCTTTTACACTGCAATATAAAATCCAGATTATTTCTTTGAACGGGATTATATGGCAACATAGACTCATACTATCCAGGTCAAAGCAGAGAATGTATGGATTATCTGCTTTTATTATCTGGCTTATATGGCAGTGTAGAAGAGGTCTCAGTTTCAACAGAACGATTTCCAGTAGAAATGTTTCAAGTTCCTTTCTCTTGTAGTTTGGTAGCTATTACTTAGCTCACCTTCCCAAAGAAAATGTATTCTTTCTAGCCAGTGGGTTGTGGCAAAAAATGGTAGTGGAATAGTGTTCTCTATCAAAAGTATTTGTCATGCATAAACTCTCACCAATATGTAAGCCAAAAATATAGCCAGTGCAATTTAGTTAAAACTAGCTGTTTTAACTAGATTGTTCGTATAAAGAATTGCAGGCATGAAATTCACCCTGGTCTCTCTCTCTCTCTCTCTCTCTCTCTCTCTCTCTCTGTGTGTGTGTGTGTGTGAGAGAGAGAGAGAGAGAGAGAGAGAGAGAATGAGAGGTGGAAAGAGAGAGTTGAAGTTATTTTTAGTAGCTATGCTCAGCTTCAAAATTCCCTGAAGAATTGTGAGAAAGCTGAGGGGGAAAGGAATAAAACAGTTCCCTTTTACATTTAGATGGGAAACAGGAACTATTAGGCCACGAGGGATAAAGGCCATGACCTGACTTCCTTTATGGCAAACAGAGATATAATATGCCTAACCTAGTAACGAAAATAAAAATTGGAAAATGAGTAAAAATCAAAATAGATTATTCCAAATTGGATTTTTTTTTCAAATGGAGAGATCACATATCTATAGGAAGAAGCTTTCCTTTTAACCTTTAACACATTTGGGCTGCACCCATTTGGGATACTCTGCCAGAATTTTCAGATGGTTAGGTAGACCAATTTCCTTTTGGGGGAGAATAAATAGCGAGACTTGACTAGGTCGGATTGTTTTGACCTCTGGCAGTTTTGGAAAGTTAACAAGGAGACGACTGGTGCTTCGAATCTTAGAGAGACATCTGACTGCAGTATCTAATCCACATATACTGTTGAATGCACTCTTACAAAGGTAAAACACAAACCTGATATTAAAGGAGTGTACAGCCTTGGGTCTGTTTTTTTTAAAAAAAACTCTAAAATAACCTCATGGCACACTGAACCTGACTAGACTTACACCCAAGGAGGGAAAGTTTTTTTTTTTCACACTCTACAAAATGTCTAGATATGTGCCCATCTATGCAGCAGTTAAAGGGAAAAAATACATTGGCATCAATAGTGGGTTCCCTTCACATCTACTGTCATGCAAAGTGTGGTCAGAATTTTAAGACATCCAGACAAAAAAAGGCATAAACATGCTTTCCCATGCATGGTAGTCCATTAATGTGGTTCTCCACCATGAGTCCTCAGATCTTGGTGGGCTGACATTCCCGTGGACAGATGTTGGGACTTTAAGAGTTGTAATCAAACAATGTCTGGGGATTCAAGTTTGAGATACAGTGATATAGCGTAAAAAGCATTCAACATTTTTGTTCTGACAACTTTATCCAGCATTGGCTGGGGCTCACATAGATAAGTGTATGTGCATAAATGAACAGCCATCCCCATGCCCACTGACTTGTAGGAGTCACTGGGATAGATGGAGGAGATGAACCCATTTCCAACTCTTTAGCAATTTCTACTGAGATGGCTGTTGTCACACTAACGATAGGAGTAGTAGTGAGAGTAGAGCAATCTGCAGCCAACTGATAAACCAGTCTGAGGTGAAATGTGAGTGGAGTCTCTTCTGAACTGGGTGCCAAATTAATAGTAATTAAAGGTTTCATGTGGCCCCAGGCCATCGTGTCAGGTCCTTATTCTTTATGCCACTGAGAGTAAAGATAAAGGTGTTGCTCAGTTCTCTGCTACTGAGGATTGAGACTGTGGACACCAAAGGTCTACTGTCTCCTTTCCCAAGAGCAACCCAGTTGATTAAATAATATGTTAGCTTACTCTGTGTACAAAAACGGAACCACTGTTATTCCAGAACATGTTTCTTCATTTTTGATTAATTGAACAGATGAGTCAGATGTTTTCCACTGGGCCAGTTATTGATATTGGAAAAATGTGGTTTGCCCTCCACAATAATAATAATAATAAATCTGAATCCATGACAACCTAGGACCTTCTATGCTTAATCATGTAGTGGTTTGTGCACCTGTAGCTTTTGTATGCTATCTGAAAACTAGAGATGCCATGAACTGAACTTGGAACTCTCTGCATGCAAAGCACAGACTCTATTACTGAGTATAGCCTCAAGAGTTTAATCTTGATTTCATTAATATAAATTGGCATTCGCTCATATATGGTATTACAGAGGTATGCACCAAAATTAATGAAAATGTCCTTAAGATTAGTATGCATGGGTCTTCTGAAAGTTTGATAGACATTTGGAAATTCCTCTACTACTTGCTGCAATATTTTAACTGATTAACTTTGGATCTCTTGGTGATCTCTGAGTATCTTAATTGATTACAGTTCTAGGAAGAGTGATCTGACACTTCTTAAGACTTGGATTACTTGCCATTAGAAAATAAAATACAGTGTCCAGGGTACTTGTATTCTTTGTTCCTTAGATTTCAATTCCATCTTTCAGGATGCTCTTAGCTATTATAGCACTGACCCTTGGACTGGGGCTAAACTACTTGACAGCCTTTCTTTTCATCTTTATGCAGACATAATGATGGGTATTTTAGAAGTATCATCAACACAGAACAATTGGAAAAACAGGGAGGATATGAACCAAACACAAGCCTATTGAGTTCTCTCAGTCTATTAAGAGTAATGAGTAAGAGATCCATCATGGCAGAATTATTATTTTTGTACAAATGCACTTACAAAGCACATCACCGACTTGCTATTGTTTGTGCACAACTTAATGGAGAAGAACTAGTGGTTGGAAAAATCCACTATATACTGGTGGAGACATAGAGTGTATCTAGAATGAATGAAGTTTGACACCACTTAGGCTGCCATGGTTCAATGCAGTGGAATCCTGGGAGTTGTTGTTTGGTGAGGTATCTCCACTCTTTTGCACTCTTTAAAAAAAACTACAAGTCTCATGATTCCACAACACTGAGCAACGACACTTAAAGTTGTGTCCAACTGAATTAGTTGTACAGTGTTTGGACCTTGACCTTTATTTATGTCATATAAGGAGTCTGACACTAAAATCCTTTTCACAAAGGCTTCGCACATAACAGAGAAGATACATGACTGAAATGGGTCTCACTCTTGCACATCTTCTCAAAATAAAGAAAGAAGTAGCTCTGAGGCCTAAGTGGGTAGTCAAGTATTTTTACATGTCAAGCTATACAAAAGAAATCAAATTACTTGAGAACCTTTCTCTCCATCTTGATATGGACATACTGAAGGTTACTTTTCACAAGATAATCTCTTAGAAACATTAAAATCTTTGGCAGTAGTACCAGAAGCCATACAAGTTGCTTTCTGTCACATTTTTAAGTATGAAGGGCTTTATATTCTTTAAGCCCAAGTGTCTCCTTGCAGCCTCACACTTCAAGATATTACACTTCAGATTACCCTTAACAGTCTCTCTGTATCACTTAGAAACTGGTACATTCCTGCCAAATGAGATCATTTCATATTGTGTGTGTTAACAGGCAATTGTCGGCAAGTGCACATGTCTATGGTTGGTGTGCTTCAAAAGGTCACTTTGCCTTTGTGACTCCCTTGACGCATGAACATATGCAAGTTCAGATATACATGAGTGAAATTGTATATAGTAACACTTCATTCTCGGCAAATACTTATTTGTCTGTTATTTAAAATTAAACGAGTTAAACCAAATGCTTTGTTTTCTATCACTAATATACCCCATGACCTTCTCAGAACTGATATTTTCAAATAAATTGATATTGTAAGCCATCTCTGTGCATAAGTTAAGTTGAAAAATGAAAGTAGTCTTTTTCCTGTATAAAATGAATGATACAAGGGGTGATGTTTGTGGTTCAGAAGTGCAGATCAATATTCTTCTAGACAGAAAGAGTTCAACACATGCATTCACAAAATATAATGAGAAATGGCAGTGTAAATCAAACCTCCAGAAAAAATATGATAAGAAATACATATTTACTCTGTGCCTCCTTCCCAGAGTGTACTCATCTCATACTAAACATTGAACATATAGATTTACCTGTGGGATTAACAACAACAACAACAATAATTTTGCTATAAATAAAACTCAAGTATTTCTCAGGTGACATGTCTGAATAGGGAAAACCATGCATATCTAACTCCAATGAACAATTGGAGTGTGTATATGTGCATCAAGCTGGTTCACTGCAGTGTGTATATGTGCATTAAGCTGACTTTAAATATTAATCATTCATTGTATGTGTTACCAAACCCTTCATTTTTTGTGGAAATCAGTCCTGAATAGCATGAAAATACCATGAGAATGCTGCAAGAACATGCTCTCAAACTATACATGTTTTCTCAAAGATTTGGCAGACGATGGGATTTCATTAAGATCCGAAGACAGTAAACTTAGATCTATACTGCTGTGGACAAGTTACAATAACAAGGAGGTCACCTTCCCTGATGAGCACTGTGCTAACTCAAAGAATGCAAATATCAATTGTGTTGAGTAGTATTAAAATCAGACGCAAAACTAAAATTCCCTCAAATATTCAATATCAAATTTCTGGAAACCACACTCCATGAGAAGCAGCTTAAAGAGCTGGGTATATTTAGCCTTCAGAAGAGAAGGTTGAGAGGAGACATGATATCGAAGTGTAAACATTTGAAAGGATGTCATAAAGAAGTAGGCTTGTTTTTACTGCCCTGGAGAGTAAAAATTAGAGCAATGGGTTCAAATTAAAGGAAAGGAGATTCCACCCCAATATTAGGAAAAACTTCCTGACCATAAAAAGTGTTCAGCAGTGCAACTCTCTGCCTCAGAGTGTGGTGGAGGCTCCTTTCTTGGAGGCTTTTAAACATAAACTGAATGGCTATCTTTCATGAGTGCTTTGATTGTGTTTTTCTTGCATGGCAGGGGGTTGTACTGGATGGCCCATTTTGTCTCTACCAACTATATGATTCTATGATTTTATTCATGACTACACAATTCCAGCTGAAATGGTGATATCTGCAATGGTATGCAGTTAGCCTGCAGATAATTAAGAAGCAGCTTGTACCCATTAACCTAATACAAAAGTGATATAACATTTAATTCCTTCATGGTTCAGTTCCTGTGGGAGACTAGCTTGCTTACTACCTGTGAGACAACCCATATATTCTGAGCACTACCAGAATACATTTGTGCTCCCAGAGGTTGTGTTGTGTCTGTAGTTCTCTGAAGAAGTCACAAATTAATTATTGCAGTTAGATAGGCAGGACTCCCTTCTTCCATAAATTTTGTAGGAGTTATTTGCACAATTGTAAGAGAATGGAAAAGGAGAAACTGAAAAAGCAATCAGCAAGAGTACTGAGAAAAGAACACTCTATTGTTGAGAGCATGGGGTGAGGTGTTATCAGTATACTGATGACACCCAAATATATTTCCCTGTGCCTTCAAAAACAGCTTCAGCTAAGGATAGCATGTCTCCTTTGAATGACTGCCTGGAGGAGATAATGGGCTGGATCAGAAAAAACAAATTGAAACTATATCCAGACAAAACAGAGGTGTTTTCCATCAAGGGTCTTAATCTGGGTATGGAAGTATGTCAATCAGTCCTGAATGGGTTTATACTCCCCCCGAAACACTATGTTTGCAGCTTGTGAGTGTTTCTGGATCCGTCTCTCCAAATGTCAGCCTAGGTAGATGGCAACAGTCAGAATTGCTTAGCTTTCTGTGATTGCCAGCTGTGCCCCTTCCTAGATTTGAAGGATCTAAAGATGGTAGTGCATGCACTCATAACCTCAAGGTTGGACTTCTACAATGAGCTTTACATTGGGCAACCTTTGTACCAAGTTAGGGAACTCCAGCTGGCTCAAAATACAGCAGCCAAAATGATTACAGGGGCATGCAGGAGTGAACATATTACACCTAAAGTCACTCCACTGGCTGCCAATTAATTTCCGGACAAAGTAGGTAAAGGTATAGGTTTTCCGCTGACATTAAGACCAGTCGTGTCCGACTCTGGGGGTTGGTGCTCATCTCCATTTCTAAGCCAAAGAGCCAGCGTTGTCCATAGACACCTCCAAGATCATGTGGCCGGAATGACTGCATGGAGCACTGTTACCTTCCCACTGGAGTAGTACTTATTTATCTACTCACATGTGCATGTTTTCGAACTGTTTGGTTGGCAGAAGCTGGGGATAACAGTGGGAACTCACCCTGCTCCCTGGATTCGAACTGGTAACCTTTTGGTCATCAAGTTTAGCAGCTCAGTGGTTTAACCCACTGTGCCACCAGGGGCTTGGGACAAAGTAAAAGTGTTTTAAACCTTACATGGTTTGGGTCCATGTTACCTACAGGTTCACCTTCTCCCATACAACCCACCCCAAACACTTAGGCCCTGTGGGGGTTGGCTAATCCAGCCTGCGAGAACCCTACTAACAACCGTCACCTAGAGAACCTTTTCATAGGCCACCCCCAGACTTTGGAATGACCTGCCAGAAGAGTCTCGACAGGTTAGATGAGTGGTCAGAATTTAAAAACATTTGAAGACTTATCTTTTCTGGCAGGCATACCCAGCCAGTTTTAATCATGAATTTTAAACTTGAATCTTGTGTTTAATCTGTGTTCTATGTAATTTAATATGTGTTTTATAGAAATATGTTTTATTATGTGTATTTTATAGAATGCTTTTAGATGGTTTTAGCAATGTTATAACCCACCTTGAGCCACAAGGCGGTGTTGGTAAGAATTGTTGTTGTTGTTGTTGTTGTTGTTGTTGTTGTTGTTTCTAAGTAGGGCATGTTAATAAAATATATGGTAACCTGGGGTAAATAGTTTTATTAGCAAAAGATGATATGTTAGCCTGAATAGGGCAAATTAATCCAGTGATCACTTTGTTTTAAAATTCCTGGACTTGTTACACAGGAAAGACAAGAATATCCTAGGGAAAAAGAAATTAGAAAGTGAACCAATGTATATTACTTGTAGCTGTCTATTCTAAAATCAGTCACATTGTGTACAGTGGTACTTACCAAATAGAAAAGAGGATGGATTATATTCTCATGCAATTGATATAAAACCAATATGAAACTAATGAAAATAGTAGATTTTATTTTGCAGAAATTTTTCTTTTTTAAAAAAGTAGTTAAAAATATAAAGAAAACAAAAATATTTTTTGTAAAGTGAATAATGTTGGAAACCGCTTTGAGTTCCCCCAGGGGTAAGGAAAGGGGTACATAAATGAAGTAAGTAAGTAAATAAATAAATTATATGCAATATTTACGTTTAGAACAGGGTAGATTAAATGTGACTGGACTGCAACTCATAACAGCCATAGCCTGCGTAGTCAATGAAGAAAAATGCTGGGAACTGCAGTCTAGCAACATCTGAAACTTTTCTGTTTACTCAGATTTAAAATGACTTAAAATTATACAATACCCACATCTTTTTTTTCATTTTCAAGAGGACCATGATAGTTTCATAGCTACAAGTAACAAAGTTTCAACTTACCCCACCTACTCTTTCAAAATGGGATGCATCCTTTCTGAAGTCAGTCAACGCACTATTAAAATACCATGTGAAACTTACGTCCAGCAGGGGATCATGCTGGACTTGACAGGGCAAGATTACACTTTCCCCTACGGTAACATCCATGTTTGAAGGTGCTAGAGTTATTCGGGTTGGCTCTGCAAAAGAGAATCAATTATAGATAGCTAGAAAAATAATGAAAGGTTTTGTTTTGTTTTTGTTTTTGGTTTTTAAAAAACTTGATTAATAAAACAGGCTCTTGCTAGAAGGGTGGGAGGGGTTGGAATCCAGAGTCTGCTAGAGAAAAGCAAAAGAAAAACATCAGCAAAACATCACAACTTCCCTCCACTCCAATTTACTCTCATGGAAGGAAGCAGTGATTGACTTTCCAAACTCTATTCTTATATCACAGCTCTCTCCATTATGTAAAGTCCCCAACACTGTATATAATTTTTCATGGGCTAAAGAGGATAAATTTGAGGCTGTTGTGTTTTTGATGAATCATGAAATGATATGAATCATTGGAAAAAATAACAATGTTGGTAAAGTAGAAGACAGTAGCAAAAGAGAAAGACTTGCTGCACAAGTGGATTCAATCAAGGAAGCAACAACCTTGGCTTTGTAAGACTTCAGCAGGGCAGGTGATGGAGGTGTCCCATTCATATATTTTCATAAGATGAAGTTGATGAAATAGCAAATAACAACATCAAAGGCAGAGATGTGGCAAGAAAATGATTCTGCCAACTCACTTGACTACAACAGGATTTATTCAAAGATTACTTGAGAAGCAGTAATCAACACAAGTATGATCTTTATCAAACTATCAGCTGATGATTTAAATAGATTTCTCAGATACTGTAGAACACTAGAGATACCTGCGTACTCCAGGATTCCAGCTTTAGTATGAGACATAAAGTTTATTGTTAATAAAATTCTCTTCATTAATTCTTTCAGAAGAATAGACCATGAAGTCAACAAGATCCACTTAACATATCAGACTAGAGTTAGTCTTCAGAAATGAGGTTAAACTCCATATTCACCTCCAAATGATATATCTCTAGTATAGACTGATCATGTTTATTTTGGCAAAATTGCCACCTGAGAATATAATAAAAGGAGCAAAAGCAGTGGCTTAATTTATTATTCTTATTACAAATCTGGTAAGAAAGAACATAGAAAAACACATGTTTTCAATTCCATTTGAAAGAGTGGAAGTCAGTTCTTGATCAAATCCATAACAAGTAGGCCT